ATCTGCTAGACTTTGATCTCTTACCTCTTCCAGAAACATCCGCCTTCTAAAGAATCCACCCTCGTCTCCCTCCCCATCATCATCAAAGTCATCAAAATAGTCATCATCATCTCCATCATCATCACCTCCATCCCCTCCATGATTAATTTCTTTCCAATATCTCCACCGCCTCCCCCTGTTGCAAGCTAATTCAAATGTATTAGCTGATCCTTCAAAAACATTTGGCAATATTCTCGAGGAAACAAATACTAAACTCCGAGAAGTAAACATCTAATTTACGATAAAAAATGAACCTGATGCTAAAAACACTAGAAGCTAATTATTGAGAATAGTAGGATGAGCATCCAAAGACTCCAAACCCAGTTCCTCATACACAACTGACAGACAGTAGCATTAATATACAGATGTCCAAACAATAAATCCGGCATAAACCAGTTGTAAGTCCATAACTTGTTATGAAGATATTTTAACAAACCAACTACTGTATTTAAATCCATGTCATATGTACTCATGCATGCTAAACACAAGTAGGTAGGATCAGTGTTTAAAAGGCGCAGCTGAGGCGTGCCTAGGCGCTAAGGCAAGGAGAGGGTGAAGCGCCTAATTGGGTCTAGGCGAGGCAATTTCAATGAAGAGCAGCAAGGCACACCCAAGGAGCAACAGGCACTGAGGCGCAAAAAGGCGCAGCTTCTTCAATTTTTTGTTCTTTTTGTCTTTTTATGATTTATTTATTTATTTATTTATTTTTTTGGGTGGTGCTAAAACTGTGTGCATATGCTGTTATGAGGGAGATATAGCATACATACATGCACACATCAATCCATTGTTTCCATTTGTGTGTGCATTCCAAACATTGAGGTCATAATGTTCTCTTATCTGCTCATTTTTTTATCTACAATTGATGCTATATGCTCATCTATTTTGCTGTTTGTAGGTGGGTAAGCAAAATAATCAGGAAAAAACATAATTTCTCTGTCAGGTCCTAATAATGCGTGTATTTCCCACTTTACTGCATTTTGTGTGTGTGTATATATATATTATATATATATATATATATATATATATATTTTCCAATTCTTGACGTAGTTATATGGTGGCTTTTCTATTCAACTTTATTCTATGATGTGGAAAGTTGTCTTATGATAGGATTCATCCATCTTCATGTATTAGGGGGTCTTTGACTCCCATAGTATTGCAATGAGAAGAAAGAATTAAGGGAGAAGAATTTACTTAGCTAATGATATTCGGGTAGAAAGCAGACGAGATTAGAAGTCTATTTATGATCGGTTTTTATCTTCTTAGGAGATAAGTATTTTGTAGATAAAGAGTTTAGGATAAAGAACCTACTAGGGCCCTAGTTTGTAACACCCATCTATTTTATCAGGCTGTGTTTTTTTTTTTTTGAATAAAAAATTAATAGTAAACCTCTCTTTTCTTGAAATCTCACAGTTTGACATGAGCACATTAGCTTAATATTCATGGTTAAAAACCCCATCCCAAACTATCTCTTTCTAGCAGATTAACAAATCTTGGTTAATTATGTATGTGTATATGCTTTCTAGCTTAATAGTCCTTTTTAGAGTACTAAATTTTCTTTCTTGTTTAGTACTCTGCTTCATGTGTATTATACATTCTCCTTGATTGGTTCATGTTGAAGTTGAACATTCAAAGAATCTCATTATTGAATATAAAGAACTTTGAAGCCATGCTTAATACATAAAATGTTAATGATGAATACTCTTTGGTGTTTACATTGCATGAACTGTTTTTTGTTTCACTATACAACTAGAAAAAACATGTATATCTTTATTTTTTAAAAGCGTACCTTACTTCAATAAGGCATGCACCTTGGCTATAAAATACCTGTTGCCTTAGTGTGTCTTGCGCCCTTTTTAACACTGGGTAGGATATCTTAAAATTTAAAAAAAAAAAAAAAACCTGGGTTCCTAATTTAACACTGCATATGTTTAAGAGTTCTACAAAAAAATAACACCAAAAGGTCCAACTCCGAGCATATTAATTTTCATCATTGTATGATGCAAAGTTTTGTTCATATCTTGCAAAATGGAGAGTTCCAAGGACGGGATAGAAATGGTATATTAAGCTAGTTTAACTCAAATACAAACTAGCTTCAGTATGATATATGCTAGTTCCTGTCAGATAGAACATCTAGTTAAAACTTACGAATTCGAACACCGATATGTCCAATCCAATGAACTGAAAGGTAAACCACAGTTTGAAATTTTGGTAGTTTTAAGGATCCTAAACTCATAATTAAACCTCCTGTTTGAAAATACACGTTATGAAAAATAAACCTTTCAAAATTCATCCAAGCAGGAATGTTTCCCTGTTAGCTTCGTTAAGCGTAAATAACAGAAATAAGCTAAATTTTCCATCTGAATTCATTCTACACATTAAACAAATTTATCAAAGTATCGAAAATCGTTAAATATCCTTTAAATACTTACATGAATTTGATACTTCAATACTAGACAATTGCCTGCTTTAATAAAGCTTAATTTAACTCATTAGGCAAGAGCTAAAAATTTTGAAAACTAACCTCAGGGCTAGACGTGGTCTGCTTCTGAGACATATCAAGCTTCCCTTTCTCCAAAGTGACCGCACCAAACGCACCGTACTGCCCTCCCTTCATAAGCGGCCCCACCTCACCCGAACCCGAAGAGGGCGATGCCGAGAAACAACGCTCGAGAGCAGCGACGGAGGAATCCACGCCATCGATTAAAGAAGAAGACGAACATCTCACCGTCAGATTCTTCTTGTGCTTACAGGATACAGGATGAGCCGGAGGCGGCAGGCTCGGCTTTAGCAACAACGTTTTGGGAAGTGGAGACGCTTGGAACACTATATGAGACATTTTCTATGGCGTGTTTGGATGGAGAGAAAGTTGTTGGCTATATTTTCCTCCTCCCACAAGACCGAGAGAAAATGAAGAGAGAGGCAGGAGGGATTTGGGGTGGCTTTTGATGGATAGTTTAGCTGACCCAACCCAATCCGCGGGGAAAAAAATGTTAGTCGACTCGGGTGGACTTTTACCGAGTCGAATCAGCCGGCTCTTTGAGATTAGGTCGTATCACTGTCAAGTTGTGGGCTCATGGGCCATACCAACAAAAGTGAGGGTAAAATTGACCCAATAAGTTAAGCAGGTAAAAAATTTAACTCCTTAAATCAATTTTGAATTTATTTTGGGATCTATTGTAAATATTATAGTGCATGAAAAAATCGTCACGTCCACATGAAGAATTTGCTTAAATAATATTTTTTTATTTAAATTCATCATATTTACTTGACAAGTTCTAATAAAATATAATTTTTAAAATTTATTACGTCGGGATGACAAATTCTAATAAATATATTTTTATTAAAAATCGTCATTTTGACGTGACGAGTTCTAAATCACTACAACAAATGTTGTATATCCAAATTAATTTTGAAAATGACCTAATAGCTCAGTTTTTTTACCGTCCGGTCCATTGGGTGAATTTTGTCAAATGTGAGTTTATTTTAAATATAATATAAAAAATTACATTTAATATTCGATTCAATAAACATTTTAACCTTTTTTTCTTTAAGCATTTTGAATTTTAATATTTTATTTTAAATAAAAATATTTTTTTATTTGATAGAAATCATTAATTAACTAATAATCAATATTTATTACTGAAGTGATATATTTTATAAGTCTAAAGTATTAACATGACATCAGTATCACATGTATATAAATAATAATATCTTATACCTAAAATAATGATCGTCATATGTACACATATTACATATACTTTGATATTTGTTTTCTATTATTAAATTTTATATTTTAATTTACTCACGGAATTTTCATTAAAAATAAATTTAGATGAATTGTAGTTAAAAGTCATATTATTAAAAGGATAAATATTAACTTACAGTTGATTATGAATAAGATGTTAGATTCGCTAACTGAGTATAGGGGTATAATTTTAGTATTATAAGTAGTGAAAATTGGGTAGGAAGATGGGAAAAAAAAGCCTGGGGACATATTCTCGTAATTTGACCCTATAGTACTCAATTCAAAAATTAATGGGAACATATTTTTCGTAATAAAATTTTACAATATTTAATTAAGATTAACCAATCAATAAATCAAATATAAATAATTATATAAAAAAGTAATTTGTATAATTTATGTACATCTAACACTTAGGGGATGTTTGTTTGTCTCTTAATGGAATTATTCAGCGTTGAATGCTGAATCGTTCAACATTAAGCGCGTTTGTTTCGCATCTCTAAATGATTCAGTGCTGACTGATTCAGCAAAACAGTGCTGAATGATTCAACACAGAAGTACATTCTGAATGATTCAGAGCCATTATCAAACAGCATGTCACATTCAGAGTTAATTCATACAGAGCCTCTGAATCATTCAGTATTTGAATCATTCAACGCTTAATCATTCTGAAGTAAACAAACAACCCCTTAATTTTTACAATTAATATTATAATAAACGAATTTATTAATATATAATTGATATCATACAAATTTTTAATTAATATGATATCATGTATAATCTATGTGAATAATTATGATAGATAACTCTCAAAAATATTAATTTTTAAAAAGTTAAAATATATATATATAAAATTCACTAATTTTACACTTGCTGACTTGAACTAGTGTAATATTTGGAACTTCTTTTATTAGAAAACTGTGTACAAATAATATACGTATTCAAACTGTAATCTTTTTCAAAAATAAAGCCCATTAATTCAATTCATCCTTTGCTTTCCATACAAGATAAGACGAGAAAAACTGGGGAAATTAAGAACACATATCCACGAAAACACAGAAACATGTTAGAAGAGAAATGGAATCCCTTGCATGTCTCCAAGATATTCTCCCTCTCCTTTTCACGTATATAATGAACTGTGAATCCTTCTTCCATAATCTGAGAAAAAAAGCTTTCTAAAAACACACAATTAATCCCCATTTTCATAGCCAAAAAAACCATGTCTCTAAGCAGCCATCGTCGTCCTGGTGTTAATGTCAATGGAGTCCGAACGATGAGAACTTATCATTATTCTGGTGTCTCCATTGCCAAAACCATAAGGTTCACAAGTTCAACCCCTTTTGAAAGTTTTTGTCCCCATTGTTTTCGTCAACCTAGTCACGAGCTTGATGTCACATGGCCTAACCTTCGTGCTGATCATGGCCTCGACCCTTTGATCACTCTCGTCGAACGACCTCGACAGCAGCCGAGTGCTGTTGATGCACTTGAAGATACAGGCAATGAGTTAGATGGCTTCGATACCGACAGGACAGAGCCCCCACCGGCAGCTGTTTCGGCCATTGAGGCGTTGCCAGTGGTGAAAATCACGGAAAACCTTCTGATCAGTGCCACGCATTGCCCCGTATGCAAGGATGAATTCGTAGTCGATGCCGATGCAAAAGAGCTTCCGTGTAACCATTTGTATCACTCTGATTGTATTGTACCTTGGCTGAGCATTCACAACACCTGCCCCGTTTGTCGGTAGGGATGGCAAACAGGTATAATTTCGTGGATTTCGTATCGTATCCGCTCTAATTGGGGTGGGGATAGGTATAACTTTAGTGGGTAGTAGACGGGTGTGGATTTAGAAAGTGGTATCCGTTGCGGGTGGGCGGGTGATGGGTTTGAGACCTTACTCGCCCGCATCCGCCCGCCCACTAAATACCCATTAAATTTTGGACTATTACGAATTTAGATAATTTTAGAGACTAATTTATAAATCTTAATATTGTATAAGATATAACTTATAATTTAACCAAATATTAAGGATAATTTAACCAAAGGAACAATGTTGAACGAGTTTACTGAATTTGTAGAGCAAAATAATTATGCAATTTCAGAAAAATTTGATTTAGTCAAGTACATAGAAACTGTCAACATACCACTTGTTGATGATTTTGATATTCTTAACTGGTGGAAAACAAATGGAAATGATTATCCAACTCTCCAACAAATAGCCAAGAATATTTTGAGTATTCATGTCTCCACTGTCCTATCAGAATCTGCATTCAGTATAGGTGGAAGAGTAATTGGTCCTTATTGTAGTCAACTACTTTCGGAGACGATTGAAGCATTAATGTGTGCTCAGAATTGTCTTTAGGTCGATATTAAAGGTAATATTATTATTTAGTCTATGTTAGTTGTCAAATTGTGCTTAATTATCTTATTAAAGTTTAGTTACTAACTTTTATAGTTTTGTCTTCTATTATATATGTAGGTAGTAGTGAATTTAAATTGAAACACTCTCAATTGGAAGAAATAGAAAATGATGATTGTGATATTGGAGTAACAGATGTCACAAGTATTGCCTGAAATTTGAGAATGTTGTGCCAAAGAACAAAAATATTATGTGTTTGTCATTTATGTTTCTAGGCTTTAATTGTCTTTTATTATGGTGTTTATGTACTTTAAGCTCTATGTTACACTTAACTCAGATAATCCTTGGTTTATTTTATTATGCTTCTAAATGGACGTGTTTGTTTTATGTTTGTTGCTTATGTATAATTTAAGGTTGTTGTCAGGCGGGTCTAGCAAGGTACATCTCTAGTTGGGTAGTGGGTGTGAGAATAGATTTGAAAATGTACCCGTGTGGGCGAGTGTGGATTTGAAAAATTTTACCCATCATGGGTGATGGGCGGGTGGTGGATTTGAAAATATTAGATGGGTATGGGGATAGGAGAGGGGGTATCCACACCCGACCCACCCGTTTGTCATCCCTATTTATCGGTATGAAATCAATGACGATAATGACATGGTTAACACTGCCGCCTCGGTCAACGACGATGATCGAACCGTTGAAATGTTTTTCCGAGACATCGATTTTGTTGTCGACAATCTTGCAAGTGGACTGACCCGGTTGCGAACTCGGTTCCTCTCTTCAAGGACTCTTCAGGCGTTCTCTCATTGGACACACCGATATCTCTCCCACAAAAAATTTATATTCATTTAATAAATAAATAAACAAATATATTTAGTTCGTTTATGATCATGAACTAATTTTTTATCAATGTGTGTATGAGTTTTCCTAAGTTTATTTATTTGATTCCTTTTATCTTTTTAGATTTTAAATGTTGATGAAAGTAGACATTAAATTAAATAGGTTTGATTATAAAATAAGTGTTCAAACTATATTGTTTTTCTTAAATAGGAGTCCAAATTTGTTTTTTAAATTATCCAGGTGTCCAACGTTACAAACATTATCGTTTTAGATGTCCGAAGCTATTAAAAAGCCTATTAAATGACATGTAATCTAGTAAATTTGGAAATTTTATTTAATAAAACTTTAAAATATCATTATATTAAAAAAGGCCCATACTTTCTATTTTACACATAATACCCCACAATTCATAAAAACCCTAATTCCCAATCTCAAAAATATAATTTCCTATTTCGCTAAAGACAAAGGGGTGGCCGGAATTGGAATCTAATGAATGGTGGATGAGCTTCGATGACACGGAAAAGGCGACTACCGGTGGTGCCGCGACGGAAGAGAAACACAAAAGAGAAGAGACAACGGCTACGTTGCCCTTTGCCACCGATTCTCACCCTTTGTCGTCAATCTGAGTGTTGGTTGTTTGACCACCCGTATCATTGTCGTTTTCTAGTAGTTGTTGGTGAACTCCAGTAAACCAATGGGGTTTTTTGGGGCATTTTCAAAAATTGAGACTTTTTTTCAATATCCTAGAAAAAAAAAATGAGGGATTTTCAAAAATAAAATATTTTAAAGCTTTTAAAAAAAAAATTTCAAAATTATAAATTATAACACATGTCACTTATCGGACTTTTTAACGGCCGTTAAGATCAAAACACCTAAAGTGGTAATATTTGTAACGTTAGTAACGTTATACACCTTAATGATTTAAAAAAAATTAGACATCTATTTGGAAAAACTCTATAGTATGGACAATTACTTTATAATTAACCCAATTAAATATAAGGTAAACTTAAAGTTAAAATTTTAAAGCCTAAAAAACTTAAGAACTAATAGTGTAATTTCACCATTTTTCTTTGGCTGGCAAATAAAAAGGGGGGAAAATGTTAGTTACGGAACATTAAACAAATGTTAAACAAACACGTTCACGATCATTAAATCATTAAATGAACTAACATAAACACCTTTAAAAATAAATAAAGGAACACAAATATAAATACCTTCAAAAATAAATAAACAGACACAAACATAATTTATTCGTTCAATCTATGTTCAGCTCATTTACACCCGTACTTGCTTAGTGGAGCAGCAATGTCCTGGCTGCGTGGACCTGCCTGGAAATATTAAGCTAAGGCCAGCAATGACCTGAATCATACATACTAGGTTCATCAACTTGTAATGTGATCCTCCCATTTAAGAATTCCATTCATCACAAGAATCTAATCAACATGCTCAATTCAATACAAGTATATACTCTTTTATCTATCCTCATTATCTATGTTCAGCTCATTACACCCGTACTTGCTTAGTGGAGCAGCAATGTCCTGGCTGCGTGGACCTGCCTGGAAATATTAAGCTAAGGCCAGCAATGACCTGAATCATACATACTAGGTTCATCAACTTGTAATGTGATCCTCCCATTTAAGAATTCCATTCATCACAAGAATCTAATCAACATGCTCAATTCAATACAAGTATATACTCTTTTATCTATCCTTCATTATTATAAAACACTAGTTTTTTACATTTACCCTACATTATAGTTGCTCAAAATGAAACATCATAATTCTTTACACTTGAATCGATATCGGAGACGGTATGCCGGCTTCTTAAGCAGTCAAACCAGCTCTAGGAGTTATTCCCTTGGGGAAAAACATCCTGCGTTTATCTTGCGTGATGACATCTTATCCGAAGTAAGATAAATGGCCTGCCAACTTTCCGGCTTTGACCTGCAGTTCATCTTTCTATTGTTCATATATATATATTGCATAGACTGAAGGAAAATGAAAAACTCGGACGCTTTGGGTGTGTTATTCAGAGGTGGTTCTACAGTCCTTGCCATATCAAAATGGAAATGAACATCACCTGGCAGTCTTTCAGATTTGTGGAACGCAGGGTGGTATGGCACAATGGATCTGTTCAATCATAAAAGGAGATGGAAGATTAAGACTCCGAAACTCCTAGTAAACAGAATACCTCGGGGAAAACATGTACTGCTATGGCTGCAGGACAATGATCACAAAACAATCGTTACAATTAGCTATAATGAAATAAGACTGATAATTAAAAACAAATGCATTTCCAACTGCATTTCCATGGTTGAAAACCACCATTAACAAGCTATATATAGATGCAAGCTGGAAGAATGTTAACGAATGCTGAAAACTTGACAAGGCAATACTACCTTCAAGCTGAACAATATGTATTAAGTAATATAATTCTTTATAAAATGGAAAACAGAGCATAAGCAGCATCACATAGTTTGCTTAGCATAGATGCTTACATGACGGAGATTGCGCAGATGGAGACTTAGCAACTGGTGCAGAAACTGGGCCTTTGTAAGCTCCATACCTTGGCCGGGATGGGATCCATAAGGCACTGAAGCTAATGGTGGTAGACTTGGGGGCAACTGTGACCGGGATAATTACTGGTGGGTGCTAGGAATTAGGTTGGAATGAGATCTTAATGGTGGGCTTGGTGGAACCACAGGACGAGAATAGGACAAGGGGGAGGGGTGGGGTCGTACCTAGAAGATGCGGGAGAAAATTGAAGGTGGAAGAGACGGTACGGTTCTAGGATCCAGTGAATGCAGGGGACTATGAGCAGATGGAGAAGCAGCATTGCAATTAGGACAGGGTGCAATTGCAAATGATGAATCTTGGGTGACATGCTGGCGCCTGAGTTGGTACAGACTTGGGATGTGGTGAAATTGATGGCCCTGGAGCCAAAGCCGGTGAAGGTGTGGGAGGGGTAGCATGAAGTGTACCCTTCAAACAAGATGATAAACTAATGCTTTAACTTTACCAAAGACCGAGTTATTGAGACCAAGATTCCTTGCAGGAGTGTGCGTGATGATTTGAGCCAACTGCTTTAATCTCTGAGGCAGAAGGTTACCATAATTATCAGACATCACTGAAGCCTGAACTAGACTGGTGAAGACATAGTGGAGCCATTTTGGTTTGTTAATTGCACAAACAGTTCTGCAATGAACAAATCAAAATAATTATAAACACAACCAACATATAGGAACCAAAAGGGCGTCAAAGGATACAAATCCATACGGCCAAATAACCTACTCTTCCTTAAACCCACAACCCAGAATTTCAGTTCCATGAGATGATGAAACTTCAAGGTCCTAATTTCCTAAACTAGGGTTATAAGGTTACCATAGATTCACCCAAAACCAAAGCATTGGTGAAATTGTTATACAGCTGATGTCATACCTCATAAGACCTCAGGCGTAGTCCATACTTAGCTGATCCTTCAACTCAACGCATTTGTCCTCTATTTCAGATATTGAGTATACAAAGTAAAATTAACAGAAACTGGTTATCTGAAAGATGGAAGCAGATTGTACAGGGATTACAGTGATGCCCCCGGGAAACTTCAAGATCCCATAATCAGAAGGATGCCCAAAAATTGAAGTCATCAAAGTCAGATTGGATTGTCGAAGGAACAGCTCAACCAACGACGATTCAGAACACTAAGGTGTACTGGACTTATTGGACTCTTTATGGGATCGGATAAAACACCAAATACCACATTAGTAGAGTAACACCCGACTGATGAATGGATAGGATAGCCATCTGTCAAATGAGTAGCTTTTAGATCAAATTTTCACATATATAGAGGTAAACATATGTAATGTGATCAAAGAAGTTGAGTGTAGAACCTTGGTATGCGGAACACCATTTCTTCATAGATATCATACTCTAACTGTTCAATATGCTGAACAAGCTCCGAAACTGGTTTCTGTAGTGTAAACATGCATGAATCGGAGCTGCAAAGAGTAAATGAATATATACAATAAACAAGGAATTACTTGGGGAAAATATGCAAGTCAAGGAAGACGGTCGGAATCAAATTAATCAATTAAGAAACAAATCAAATGACCAGTGCTATGCCGATCAACCTGTTATCAATTCAAAGTATGAAAAACAAAACATAGCCCTTGTCTCACAAATTTGACATCTTTATTTACAAGAAAAAGGGGGAGGAAAGCATTGAATCAACCATTAAGTGTTTACTTCTTTTGCTAAAAAGAGAAATACTCTAATTAAAGGAAAACAATCACTTCCTATGATACAAAATCTATGATTCACAACCTCCAAAGGGTAAATAAAGTATCAGGTATCAATTCACAACAGGGCCATCAAGAATCCTGATTGATACATAATTACAAAAGTAAATGATAGATCAATCAGGGAATACCCAATAACTCTAAACAATTGAGGATCTAAATTAATAAAAAAATGCAATGAAAAGAAATCCATTTACCAGAGGCAGAGACATCAGACAAACACAGAATTAAGCCCTAATCACACAAAGAAGATGAAAAGCTAAGTTTGAAAGAATTCTTACCACTGAGCTTAATAGCTAGTTTAGCATCGAACCCAGATTTCACTGATCGCATAGGAAGGATCCAGAGGATCCCAGGCAACAAACCGACAAGCTGAGGAACAAGACAAAAACACATCTGAAACTGAACTCATTAGAAAGGCTCGACAAGAAAAGCCAACGTCTCCCACAAGTGCCCTTCATTGTTCCCTGATTCAAGACCCTGCTCTTTGTTGCTGCGATTTTGGTCCTCATTTTCCCCATTGAAAGTGCATCTGGGGAAAAAGGGAAAATACCCAACAATATTTCTACCTTTCTCTTCCTCTGATTACCTTGGGTTCTTTACTTTTTCTCTTTTTTTCACTTTCTCTCTCTGGAAATCTCCACTCACCAACACCACCACAAACAAGGAGTAACTTTGCAGAGGATTGGTGGGAAGAAGGGTCTGGATTGAGAGACAAGCGTTAATGGTGGGCAACGCATATGCCTCTCTCTCTCTCTCTCTCCGCATTAACTACTAAATCTTCAATTTTGACAACATCCTTTTACTTTCTATCTCTAACACTCGTCTTGCTGTTTTTTTTTTCCTTGTATTTAAAATTTTTAAAAAGTACTAATTTTTGCACTTGAGTATAGTTTTTTTTTTATCTTTAACTAATTTCTCTACTAAAAATTGACGCACCGACTATAGAGTTGGAGTTTGGACTCCAAGTTTAAAGTCAAATCTAAATTCTTTTAGAGAAAATAGCATTAATTCTCAATATAGATTTCAATTTGATTCTAAATTTTAGTTTTTGTTATGTTTAAATCTCATAGATTTCTTTATTTTTTATTTTTATTTAAATTATTTTATTATTAAATAATTAATATATTATAATATGGCAAACGTATCAAATATAACATTGAAAATTTTAAATCAATAATAATTTTATCCTTATTTTTAATAGATATCACATGAATTAAGATTCAATCAGTATTTATTGTCCATGGTTTTTTATACCATTGTCAAACTTTTCTTTGGATAACTTTTAAAGGTAAATTACCTTTTTGGTATATATTATTTCTCGTTTTTATTTTAATTATTTTCTTTTATAAAATATGTTAATACTAATTGTTTGAATGGTAATTAAAGAAAAATAGTGATGTAAAGAATATAATAATAATTTTAATATTCAAAACTTTTACATTTTATTAAATTAATCTTAATTGAAAATAATTTAATAAATTAGAATTATATGCAACGTGGCAATTGACATTAGAATTATTAAATTAATAATTTTAATTGAAAAAATATACATTATTTATGGTGCATATGTATAGTTTTTTGGATAATAATAATTACCAACCGTGTGAGTGTTGTGTTACGAGTGTTATGTTATTGGACAACTTTTCTTTCCTTACATTTTCCAATTTCATTTGGGAATACAATTTTAGTATTTGAATTTAGTTTAAAACCTTAATTTGATTTAAATTTTTTTTGTTCACATGAATTTAATTTATTGGTTTGAAACTGATACGTGAATTCCATCTTTTGTGTTCAACACTTAATACTTATAGTTTTTAGTCCAATGAATTATATTTAAATGAAAATATTCATATCTGTATTTAAAAATTATTTGAATTCATTTAAGTCTGTTCTATCTAAACAAATTTAAATATGAAATTATCTAAATTGAATTAAACAGTTAATTCATATTATTGATTTGAGTAAAAAGCCAAATTCAAATACTTAATTAAAAAACAAATATCAAGTTTAAGTACCAATTTGAATAAAAAAGTCAAAATTGTTCGTTTAAATATAATTAAATAAAACGAATCAAGTGACTTTAGTGATTAAAAGATTTATTATTATCAATTGAGGTTTTGGGTACGGGTTCTGAGTGCACAATGATATAAATATTATTGTCAAATATTCGAAACATTGGACCGCTAATTCAAGCCCGGATGATTACTCTCCACGGTAGTCTCGCGGAGGTATTAAAGACCATATCAGTTTTGGGCAAATGACAGGCATAGGCTGGTCACTTGGATTTTTTGCCCCAATAGGCACCCATTTTAATTATTTAGTCTAATAGGGCACTTTTAAATTATTTAGGATGTACGGTATTTTCTACAATCCTAGAGAAACTCGTCACCTCGACGTGACGAGTTTCATGGGGATGTAATTTTTTATATTACAGACTCAATATTTTAATATTTCCTGTAGTGATGAGTTTTAGTACGGTATTTTCTACAATCCTAGAGAAACTCGTCACCTCGACGTGACGAGTTTCATGGGGATGTAATTTTTTATATTACAGACTCAATATTTTAATATTTCCTGTAGTGATGAGTTTTATTAAAAATTAATTTTTATTATTATTACGTGAATTTAATATTGGGAAGAAAAAAATTCATTGGAATTCGTCACGTCCAGGTGACGAGTTCTGTGTATTTTTTTCCTCTCCAATATGTGGTAGATTGTGTTGAAAATAATAATAAACTATTAACATTTTATTAGACTTTCAGAAATGCGCATTAGGAAGAAAAAAATTATCATTGATATTTGTAAAGTCGATATAACATGGAAATGGTTAAAGGATTATCGGCATGTTTGATGTCTAGGGAGATGTGGACAGTGATTCATATTGTGGCTTTTACCTCTGTAGTGGTCACATAGCTTCGGTAAACTTTACTCTCTTTGTGGGTCATCTATATTAGTATGAATTCGATTAGATTCATGATGACCCTTCAACTTCCTTCGTAAGTGCGGATTGGGTAAGCATTCTTCAAAGATAGTAGGTGGCCAATATGCATCGTTCGGGAGATAATTAAACTCGCAAATATACATGTTGCACATAATATCCAAGCTATAACAATCATCAGTATAAATGTATGGGCCTACATTGACATGTATACATATAGCAACCGCGTGAGCGCATGGATATCTGAAGGCTAAAAATCGACCATAATCACACCATATTCTATTCAGATTATTAGTATAAGAGGTAGAAGTCCCACCCACATATGGTCGAACAAGTGTCATCCATTTGAACCATCTATTTGCAATAACGAAAGCCTTCAATTTGTGATTTGAAAGCCCATAACAAGCCTCCGAAAACTCTCTCCCCAGGGATAACTTGTCCATCAAATGTGGTTGTATGATAAGTGTAGAAACGAAAAATGGTCCCTGGGATGAAATATTACATTACGTGCAACAGATGTGACAATTCATTGTACGACTGATCTTAATCACCGTACAGTAGTGTCATAGCTTTTCGTTTGGCCATCTAGGACTTGTAATAAGACGAAAAATACCCAAAATTGTATGTATTAATGCCACAATCATTGATACCGGGATCATTGGATTTTCTCTACCAGTAGATTCACTTATGCACAAATGGCATCGGAGTCTAAGTGTTTTGTGGTCTTGTGTGAAGGAGATGAACGTGTAACTGTTCTGGTTATAGAACCTTGTCACTTCCAACATTTTTGTGTAGGTATGAGACATGTATCCTCCACTTACAGTCGACGTTGTTATTAATACATATGACAAATATGTTTATGGTCAGACTCCACAACAGTGAATTCTATATGAGCTTTGATACAAAACTCTTTCACAAATAGTTACATCCTTCTTACTCTTAAACTGTGACCAACTCCAAACTTTATCGATCTTTCATCTGAGGTCCTTAGTGGGCTGCGCAAATATTGAGCATATCATGAATCTCAAGATTCCACATGGCATCATAGTTTATCGTATTGCAACTGCATGACGATATTGAGGCAAATGCGGGTACGAACTTTCATCTTACATGGTTATTGGTAGATGTGCCCAAACTGGCTGAGTATTCTGCATTGCTTGGCCACGAGTGACGACTGCCTTCCAAACATCAGCCTCTATATCAAAGGCTTGTCCATCTAAAGAAGCCTCGACAATATCAGATTCATCGATTATTGGTGAGCCATTGTCCATCATAAATGGAGAAAAAGTTTCATCATCCTTGCTAAAATCACCAAGGATTTCACCGAATTGCCTGACGAGGTTATCTACATCTTCTAATGGTCCTACTTCTACGGTCACTAGTGCAAAAATTGATGAAGTAGGAACATCAACAGTTTCGACAATAATCTCAATTATTTGATTATTGGAAGATTGATGAAGGCTAACCATAACAGCTACATCATCATCATCATCGAGAAGGATTGTTCCATATTTGAGCAGAGTCTCTGAAATGATGTGTCGATATCTCAAACTTAAACATACCATCTAATTTTTTTCGATTTGCATCTTTATTTGCTGATGATATACATCTACTAGGAACACATGTTCATGAGCCTATGTGGCATGAACTGAACACCATCTTTTGTTTCGACAACTTGGCCATTTGGGTGGACAGTTGTGAAAAACTTGTTTTTCATAACTTCATAGAGAGATTGATTTTTGCTTGTTCAATGCAATTGTAAAAATAACAAGTCTAGTGAAGATTCATCTGAAGTGAGTCAATTTAAAAACAATAGACTAATCATAATTACCATTCATTCATAACTCTCCATTGAAATGTCATCATAGTAGGTCATTATCATCTTCTACAACTTTTCAGAGGTCATTCAATGCACAAGTTAAATAACTTTTTAGAAAACGAGTAAAATAGTAGTGCATTATCATCTTCTGCAACTTTTTAGAGGTCATTCAATGCACAATTTAAACAACTTTTCAGAAAACGGGTGAAATAATGGTGCATTATCATCTTCTGTAACTTTTTAGATGCCATCAATGCACAATTTAAACAACGTTTCAGAAAAATGGTGAAATAGTGGTGCATTATCATCTTCAACAACTTTTCAGAGGTTATTCAATGCATAATTTAAACAAATTTTCAGAAAACGAGTGAAATAGTGGTGCATTATCATCTTCTGCAACTTTTTAGAGGTCATTCAGTGCAAATTAAACAACTTTTTAGAAAACGGGGTGAAATAGTAGTGTATCATCTTCTGTTTAGAGGTCATTAAATGTATAATTTAAACAACTTTTCAGAAAACATGTGAAATAGTGGTGCATTATCATTTTCTGTAACTTTTTAGAGGTCATTCAATGCATAATTTAAACAACTTTTCAAAACGGGTGAAATAGTGGTGCATTATCATCTTCTGCAACTTTTCAAAGTTATTCAAAGATAATTTAAACAACTTTTCAGTAAACGGGTGAAATAGTGGTGTATTATCATCTTCTGCAACTTTTCAA